AATGAATTGAATGAATGAATTGAATAAATTGAATGAATGAATTGAATGAATGAATTGAATGAATGAATTGAATGAATGAATTGAATAATTGGAATATAATGAATTGAATGAATGAATTGAATGAATAGGTTCCCCCCCCAACTGAAAGGGTTCTTGGCTGCAAAGGGAGGGAGGGGAGGCCCAGCCAGATCCTCTCTGATCTCCCAGCTTCTGCCTCTTTCAGCCCCTTTAAGATCCGGGTCCTTCCTGCTCACGATGCCAGCAAAGTGCGGGCCAGTGGTCCTGGACTCAACGCCTCGGGCATCCCTGCCAGCCTGCCAGTGGAGTTCACCATCGATGCCCGTGACGCTGGTGAAGGGTTGCTCACTGTACAGATCCTGGTAAGCCGTGGGGCCAGGAAGGAACTGTGGGATGGCTGGGAGGCCTCCTCTTAGTCCTGGGTGCAGCAACAGAGAAATGGAGAGGGGGTGGGTGGGAGAGGGGCTTGGCATTGTCAGCCCAAATGCTGGCTGGAGACATTCTGAAGCCCACCCACCTTAAAGTTGCTGGGATTGAAAAAAAAAAACCTAACAATCTTGCAGGTCTGAAAATACAAATCTCTCACTGTCTGCTTTTAATGCCTGATTAACTAAGTCTTCATAAATGACTTAGACGAGGGAATAGAAGGGGAACTTACCAAATTTGCAGATGATACTAAGCTGGCAGGAATAGCCAACACCCAAGAAGACAGGCTGAAGATCCAGAGGGATCTTGACAGACTAGAGCACTGGGCCACATCTAATAAAATGAAATTCAACATAGAGAAAAGTAAAGTCCTCCACTTAGGCAAGAAAAACCAACAGGACACATATAGACTGGGTGAAACCAGGTTTAATAGCAGGAACTGGGAGAGGGATCTTGGAGTCTTAGTGGACAACCAGCTAAATAGGAGCCAGCCATGTGCAGCAGCTGCCAAAAAAGCCAATGCAATCCTAAATTGCATTAACAGAGGGATGGAATCAGGATCAAGGGAGGTATTGATACCACTCTATAAAGCCTTAGTAAGGGCACACCTAGGGTCCTGCACCCAGTTTTGGTCACCACACTATAAAAAAGATGTTGAAAAAGAGTGAAGAGAAGAGCAACCAGGATGATGAGGAGACTGGAGACTAAAACCTATGATGAACAGTTGCAGGAACTGGGCCTGGCTAGTCTAGGGAAGAGAAGGACCAGGGGAGACATGAGAGCAGTCTTCCAATATTTGAGGGGCTACCAGAGAAAAGAGGGGGGGGGTGTCAAGCTATTTTCCAACGTACCTGAAGGCCAGACAAGGAATAACGGATGGAAACTGATCAAGGAGAAATTCAACCTAGATTAAGGAGATATTTTTTGACAGTGAGAACAATCCACCAGTGGAACAGAAGTTGCGGGAGCTTCATCCCTGGAGGCTTTCAAGAAGAGATTGGACTGCCTTCTGTCAGAAATGGTGCAGGGTCTGCTTGGGCGGGGGTTGGACTAGATGACCTACAAGGTCCCTTCCAACTCTGTTAATCGGTAACCTGGGAATTAGGAGGGATCGTTTCTAAATTTCGTTCTCTGTCCATTGTACAGCTGAGGGTTCATCCTCCTTTTATCTGACCCTTTCTAGGCTGCGTCTCTTTCTCCTCTTCTCTTCCCACCCCTGGCCTTGTTTTCCAGGATCATTCTCACCTTCCATTACAGGTTGACCTTTGACCAGACCCTCCGCTTCTCTTTCTCCCCCAGGACCCTGAGGGCAAACCCAAGAAGGCCAACATTCGGGACAACCGAGATGGGACCTATACAGTCTCCTATGTCCCAGACATGACGGGCCGCTACACCATCACCATCAAATACGGTGGCGATGAAATCCCCTACTCGCCTTTCCGCATCCACGCCTTGCCCACTGGAGATGCTAGCAAGTGCCTGGTGACAGGTCGGTGGTGGCTCTTCTTCTTTCCTGGAGGGGGTCACTTTCTTGGGGCAAGAATGATTCCTGACGAGGATGCTCATGTCTCTTTCTGTCTCTCTGTCTACAGTGTCCATCGGAGGCCACGGATTGGGTAAGCTTTGATGTGGACCACAAGGACATTTGTAGACATGGCCCAGTTGTCCCATCATGTTTTCTAACATTTGCGAGCTCCCTTTTACTTGGGAATAACGAAGTCCAGGAGGTTCTCTTTGCAAAAAATGGGCTCCAGCTTCCCCCTGGAGTTTTTTGGGGGGCTCCATCACTGGAGGCTTCCAAGCAGAGGTTGGACAAGCACTTGATCGGAGCAGAAGACGTTTAAAGTCCCTTTCCACGTCTACGAGTCTGTGATATTACCACTCTAGAGTGGATCCTCTTTTCTGGAATGTCCTTATTTTAGAGGCCCATTGAGTTTTCTTCTCCACCCTTTTAGCATTCAGGTCCACAAACTTTATTTGAGACTGTGATTTTCGTTATTCCTAGTTTGAATTTTAACTCCACCTGCTGGACTGAGACATTGGCTGAGTTGGGTCACGGCCAGTTTCGGTGACTCTTGACTTGATGGCTGCCTCCAGCATTTCTTTATCCCTCCCTCTGAACCTAGCCTACCTCAATAGTCCTGGGATGTAGGAGAAGGAATGGCAGAAGCTGGAGGCGGCATGAAAAGAGGAATTAGCTTAGAATCCATACGTAGTCACAAGCCAACCAAGTCCAACTGCCTTTGAGTGCTATCAACCCTTATTCGATTCGGACAAGGTGCTGACTATTAGTTGGGAAAATTCCTGTGCACATAGGCTTTTAGTAAGGAGGAGGAGTGCAGTGGGCTAGAGGCGGAGCAGCTCTCACTTCACAATCAGGAGGCTGTGAGTTCAATCCTAGGTAGAGCCAGATATTTCTCTCTCTCTGGGCACAATGAGAATATATCTGCTGAACAAAACTCCACATTGGCTGCAGGAAAGGCATCCGGCCAGTAAACACTCCGCTAGCTCCATTGAGTTGCCCAGACTCCATCCCGCAAGGGATAACGCGGCCATTAACAGAAGGTGATAGGCTTTTAGTGAGAAGTCTTCTTAAATGGGACCGTCGCCTGTAGACTTGGTTTGACCATTTCTGGGCTTGGCTGCAACCGTTGTCTTCATTTCCTTGTAGGAGCGTGCCTTGGTCCCACCATCCAAATTGGAGAGGAGACGGTCATCACAGTGGACGCCAAGGCAGCTGGGAAGGGCAAAGTGACCTGCAAGGTCTCCACGCCTGACGGGGCCGAGCTGGATGTCGACGTGGTGGAGAACCACGACGGCACCTTTGACATCTACTACACGGCTCCCGAGCCTGGGAAATACGTCATCACCATCCGTTTCGGAGGAGAGCAGATCCCCAACAGCCCCTTTCATGTGGTGGTGAGTACTGGATGTGCCCGGACAAAAACCACCATCCGTGGGGTAGATGGACCCAGGGTAGCCACCCCTTTTCCAATGGTCATCAAGCAACAAAAGTACCGATAGAAATGTGTAGCTCCTGGTTGGGGTCCTTGGTGGTTTTCTTGGAGACGTTTCATGACGTTGTCAGTGCTGGAAGGGAGAAGGTGTTGTGGAGTGGAGAAGGAGAAGGACGGTTGGGGTCCTTAGTGCTCTCTGAGCTGACGTATTTTCCCGCACACCGGCTCATGACTTTGACAATTCATTGACAGAGTTGTCAATGCCTGGAATGCACTACCTGACTCCGTGGTAAGGGGCCGTGCATAAGCGGACCAACGTGCCTACCGTCCCTGTCTTAATGTCCCCTTTTATTCGTACCCATTTCGTGTGCTCCTAATCATGTTTCTAACGATATCTGTTCTCTAAAACGTGCTTGGCAAATAAATCATTTTTTTAAAAAATGACCCAACTAGGCAACACCATCAGTACTAGAAGACAGTGGCGGTTTTCAGAGTAGAGGAGGAGAACAATGACAATTGTGCGGGTTTGGGGTGTTCTCTGATCGTAAATGTTTTTCTACAAACCTTTCATGACCCAACCAGGGATGGAGTGGTACTCAGGTGGACTGCTAGAATGGAGCGGTATTCAGAGTTTTGCGTTAAGTCAGCGCCCGAAAAATAACCACAGATGGTTATTTTCATTTAACCTCTTTATAAACATAATAAGCAGATTTTACAATACCAGTTGTAGATTTCTCCCAACATGCAGCAAACTCAAACAGAAACGTGTTGCAAGTAACTTCAGTAGCAAGCATTATACACAGCAGAGGAGAGAAATGGTTTCATCTTCAACAGACGGACCCAGAGCTCAACATAGCTTCAGAGCTTAATATAGAGCCACGCCGAGGCTGCTTCTAGTTTCAGTTTCCAATCAGCCCTCATTGGCTGACTTAGTTGCTATGCCTATTCGTTGGCTGACCTTATCACCAAGCTGTATTCCCGTTCATGAATGTACTCTGACAGGCGGGTTTTGTGGAGAGGAGGAGGACGACGACAATGGTAGGGTCCTTGGGGTTCTCTGAGCTTGGATGTTTTCCTACAGACCTCTCATGACCCAATTAGGTAACATCATCAATGATAGGACAGAGAGCTAGAAGGCTTCTAAGCACTGATGACGTTACCTGGTTGGGTCACGAAATGTCTGCATGAAAACAACCAAGCTCAGAGAGCACCAAGGACTCCTTTGGTTAGGTTTGGGGGCCACCCCACCGTTGCTCAGCTCTGTCCCCACAGCCGTCGGATGCAGCGAGGCTGTGGGGTGAAGAGAGGGCTCTCACCGTGCACGCAGGACCACCCACTGATGTCTCCCTTGCTTCCCGCCAGGCCTGTGACTCCATTCCTCAGGTTGAAGAGCCCTGCGAATCCAACCAGCTTCACCAGCCCTTCCCGGTGCACCACTCTGGTGGCTTCCCTCCACATTGGGTACCAGGACTGTCTCCTCGCTTGTCTTTGCCTCCTCTCCCTGTCTCTCTCTTTTTGTCTCGGAAAGGAGGGTCCTGCTGCCCCCATGCCCAATGCCAAGAGGGTCCTCAGGATGTGGTGGAAGAAACCAAGGAGGTGACCGTGATGTGCAGCCGAAGCTCTACCAAATTTTGATGGGCAACACAGAGCGTTTGAGTTGCACTCCTTTTTCCGGACACATCCTGCAGATACCCCTGGCCAAGGCCCAATTCCAACCTTGGTTTTTCTCAGACATTTATTTGCTTCTTCCTCTTCCACCCTTCCCGGAGACCTGATAGCATGAGATAATAGGAGTCTTCCAGTATTTGAGTGGGGGGGGGGGGCAAAGAAGAGGGGGTTAACTTATTCTCCAAAGCACTGGAGGGCAGGATAAGAAGCAAAGGATGGGAAACTCGTCAAGGAGAGAAGCAACCTAGAAATAAAGAGAAACTTCCTAACAGTGAGGACAATTAACCAGTGGAACAGCTGGCCACCAGAAATTGTAAATGCTCCATCACTGGAGGCTTTTAAGAAGAGACTGGACAGCCACTTGTCTGCAATGGTTTAGGGTCTTCTGATTGAGCAGGGGGTTGGAGTAGAAGACCTCTCCAATTGTCCCTTCCAATTGTGTCATTCTGTTAGGTCCCTCCCAAAATGTCGGTGTTGTTGAGACCCCACGCAGCCAGGCCATACTGCCTTGTACAGCAGGCAGCTAACAAAATGGCGCATTCTATCTGCAGAGGAAGATCCGACCTCTTCAAAGCCCAGTGTGGAATGGTTGGCTCAAAAAAAGTTGGTAGGAAATCCAGTTCTAGTTTTTAAGGAGTTAAACACCGGTAGAATCCTGCACAGCATAGGTAGCATCAGTGAAGTCCCCTTCGGAGTTTGCACCAAGCAAATTCACCCAACCTCCTGGCTGCGAAGTGAGTCATTTGTGGCTCAGGGGGTGGTACAAACTGAACAGCTAGTCCTCGACTTACAGCAGTTTGTTGAGTACCCGAAGTTACAATGGCGCTGAAAAAAGATACGGTGGGCCATTTTTCTCACTTTTGTACCATTGTAGCACCTCCCCAGGGGGTAGGCCTGTTAGCCCAACAGCTGATCATTGGAGAGAACCAGTTCGCTCCCAGCTGATCTTCGGAGCTACCGGTTTGCCTAAAACGGACTGAACTGGTAGAAACCCACCCTTGGTCAAGACTCACTTAGCAGCCGTCTCGCTTAGCAACAGAAAGTTTGGGCTCGATTGTGTCGTAAGTCAAGGACTACCTGCAGGGTGGCTAGCTCAATGCAATTTGAGAAATCCAGCGGTTTTGGCAAGGCAGGGGCAACCAATGGACAGTCCTGAATCTCTTCTTTGCCATTTTTTGCTGTCCCCCAAACCCTTTCGGGGTGTTCTGGATTTTTTTGGGGGGGAGGGGGGGGCTGGTTCTTAGTCTCCTTCTTTCTTCCAGCCCTGTTTCTTCCAGCTACTACACCAAGACTATTTTGGTTTCTAAATCTTTCTTTGCCTTTGGGGTGCTCTTTCGCTCTCTCGGTTCACCCCCCATTCTCTATCTGGACTTAAGTCTCTCTTTCTGCCTTCCCCCCCCGTTTCCTCTCTTCCCCATCCACGCCAGGCCACGGATGAGCCCGTTGCCCCTCCGGAGAGCGTGGATGCCATGCTGCGGCCTTTCAACCTGGTCATCCCCTTCGCCGTGCAGAAGGGAGTTATCACAGGTAGCCTGTCTGTCCGTCTGTCTGTCTGGGGATTGGATTGTAATGGGGGATCGGGAGGGTGGGGGGAACCACGGCACGGAAGCACAGACTGGAGTTTTGGGGGAGGTGGGGCGAATTGAGCCACGTCATCTTGGACTCACTTCTGAGTTTCTGCATTACAGGTAGGCCTGAAGTTACGACCGTTCGTTTAGTGACTTCTTTGTGGCCACCTCGTTTACTGTGCGTGTGTCCCTGAGCGATTCGACCCTTGAAAGGGGAACATTTTTGGTCTTTTGTCACCCCCCCGCCAAGGTTTCAGTGGAACTGGGGTGTCATGGTTTTGAAAGCATTAGAAAGGATTAGAACAGGGGTCCCCAACCTTGGCAACTTTAAGACTGGTAGACTTCAACTCCCAGAATTCCTCAGCCAGCTTGGGACTCTAGGAGTTGAAGTCCACAAGTCTTAAATTTGCCCAAGGTTGGAGACCCCTGTAGTAGAGCCTACACAAAGTGTAACCTAACCAGGGGTGAGATTCAGCCGGTTCAGCCTGGTTCGGGGGAACCAGGTGTTAAATTTACATCTGGTTTACCGAACCGGTAGTTGAACCGACCTGCTGGCCCCACCCACCCCTCCCCTCCCAGGGGCTCATTTTGGATGCAGGGAAAGATGCATGGGGAAGCTCTGGTGGGGTGGGGGAAATAGAAGTCTGGAAACGGGCCTGTTTCCGGCTTCCCGAGGGCCTCCGGAGCCCAGCGGAGACCATTTTCACCCTCCCAGAGGCCTGAGGGAAGCCTCCGGACTCTGGGAAAGGTGAAAAACAGCCCCTCCCGGAAGTTCCAGTAGGCCACACCCACCCAGCAACCCGGCAGAGAACCAACCGGTTCTCTGGGATTTTTGAATCCCACCCCTGACTATCTCAGCTTTTGTTATTCCCGTTGAGCTGAAGGTCCATTGTAACCTAATGTGCCATTGGCGGAGATAAAGCCTCCAGGCCAGTTGCCAAGCTTAGCTAAGCAAACCTTGGTGTAATCATATTCAAATGTGAATTCTTTCTTCTGCAAGTATCTCATGTGAAGATTGCAGCCTCCCTAGCAAGCTCTTAAATTCCTTTTTTTCCTTCCTTCTGAGCCCCATTGTTCCCAAGTGCTGGGGAAATCGTGGGGTTTGCATGAACCAGCGGATAAGAAATGAGGTTTCTTACATGATGACGGGTTTTGCATGGACTATGTAGTAGTTAGGCCTTTCCTTTTCTCTCTCTGCCCTCTCTGTTTAAGGCAGGAGATTAAAATCACCCAGCTTTCATCTTGATCAATGATAAAGCAAATTATCAGTTGCCTCATATTCAGAGTTTCAGTGGGTTAATTCAGATTTTTTAATTCAGTTTTGCTGGGCAAAACCTAACAATTTTTAATTAATTTTTAAAATTCGACCTTGCTGATCTAAATAAGTTTATATATACTGCTTTTTTTTTGGTAGGTTTTCCTATTTTACTTGTACATGGTACAAAGCCCCTCTCTAAGGGATGGGCTGTTTGAATAATTAGGAGGTTAGATTAAAATGAAATAAATGATTAAAGGAAATTCAAATGAAGAGATTGAATCAATAATCCCAAGAGAAAAATGAGAGACAGGCTAGAAAATGGAATACTCATCTCTGATGATCTAGTGACCTAAGCCCACTGTAACTACCTAGCTAAAAAGGCATTAAGAGTTGTTAACCTAATCCTGCATAGCTTTTTCTCCATGAATATTCTACTACCAACTAGAGCTGTGGTGATTCACCTTTTTGGACTCCTGTGCCAAAAATTGTGCAAGCGCTCGTGTGCCAGCACCCAGAAGGCAATGCATATGCCCCCTGCGCATGTGTGCGCAATCCCCTCCCCCACTGCCCCCTTACCTGCATTGCGCCTCACAGCCAATTTTCGGCCAGATTGAGGCCTTTTTTGGCCTCTGCAGGCTTTGCAGGCCGAATAATAGGCCCATTTTATCACTTCCGGTGTTTACAGGAAGTGACAAAACAGGCCTATTTATTCATCCTGCAAAGCCTGCAGAGGTTTTTTTCAAGCCTCTGGGAGGCCGAAAAAGGCCTCAAACTGGCCAAAAATGAGCTGTGAGGCATGCGCAGTGAGGTAAGTTTGCCTGTGGCTTGCATGCCGGCACAAATGGCTCTCCGTGCCACCTGTGGCACGCGTGCCATAGGTTCGCCATCACGGAACTAGAGCATACAAAAAACATTTGCTAGACCAATACTCAAATACAGCTCATCAGTCCGGAACCCACATTGCAGACCGAACATTAACACAATCGGGAGAGTCCAGAGATATTTCATGAGAAGAGTCCTCCACTCTTCTACTCGTAACAGAATACCTTATGTCACCAGACGTGAAATTTTAGGCCTAGACAACCTAGAACTACACCGCCTTCGGTCTGACCTAAGCATAGTACGTAAAATTATCTACCTATCAATGACTACTTTCAACGTCAATGAGAACAACGTCAATGAGAACAACACACAAGCACATAATAGATACAAACTCAAGATATACCACACCAAAATTGCAGGAAATACAACTTCAACAACAGAGTGGTCAATGCCTGGAATACTCTACCTGTGGTTTCTTCCTAAAACCTCCAAAACTTTAATCTCAGACTGTCTACTGTTGACCTCACCCCATCCCTAAGAGGTCTGTAGGGGGCGTGCATAAGCGCGCCAATGTGCCTACCATCCCTGTCCTAATGTTTCTTTTTATTCGCGCAGCCATAATGATGTTTATACCTATACCTGTTATCTAATACTTGCTTGACAAACAAAAGAATAAATAAAAATAAATAAAAGAAAGGGATTTGAATTGGGTGAGCCAAAATGGAGATGGAAAGAGAGAACAAGGAGGTGGTAAACCTAGATCTGTGGTTGTTTGCGAGGGTAGCTCAATAGAACTTCTACAAGGGGCAGCCAACTCCTTCCGCAACCACATTCCAGGACTGCACAATGTGCCATTGTTGGAAACCTGCATTCCGCTGTTCCATTCTTTCCCATGATGCATTTGGAATGTACCGTAGCATCTCCAGGCATTGATTTTTTAAAAAAAAATCTCTGGGAAATAGAGTTTTAGGACCGGGGTGGAGGACAAGCTGGTGGCCGTGGGGTCTTGGAGGGGAGAAACGGTGGGGCAGCCAGAAGCAGACAGCCAGGTAAATCTTGCAAGCCCCACCCACCTCTAGCCCCACCCTTATCGAGCTCCTCCCCCTCACCTGCAGCTCCCAACTGCTGTGCGTCAGCCCTGCTTTGACTCTTGATAGGTTGGAGTCAGCCCAGAAGTGGGAAATGTTACTGAACTACAACTCCCAACATCCCTCAGACTGGGGTGCTGGGAGTTATAGTTTGGGGAGGTTTCCCAGATCTGGCTACTTCCATTCTCAACCCAGAAGTGGGGAATGTTATGGAA